CGTCTCCTCCCGGCATTTGGCGATTTCCCTACTTCAGCTGTGTTTGCTTGGCATAGGGCAGTAATCTGCGTGCGTGCATCTCAGGAACAGGACACAGCACAGTCCTGTCTGTAGCTTCCTGTCGCATAGTCCGGAAAGGTCTCAGCTTTTGTTTTGTGAGAAAATATGGAATCACTGTCATTCTTTTGTCACGAGTATTTGTTTACTATTTCACTTAACTCAGTGGTTTCTTGTACTGTTAGACGTCGTTTTCCTGAGGTTGGCCGTTCTTTGAGCTTCGAGGTTGTTAAGAACACAGCATTGAGAGTCAGGGAGCCGATATCTTTCGTTCATTTGCGAGGTCCTCTCCTGTCCTAGGTTTAGCAAGGTTTTCTCCAGACTGCTGCTCGGCAGGCACTTGGGGAGTCTGTGATCCTGTGTGTGTTGTGGTTCCACAATCGGAGTGGCATCTCCAGGTAGTTTCAATAATGAGTCCCTGAAATGAGCTGCTGTCATTCAAGCCCATCAGGGTTATGTTGTCAGGGGGCATGGTATCCCAAGGCCGTTTCTAGATGCCAGTTTCAGTAGCCGATGCAGCTGCTAAAAGTTTGACCCATCCAAACTGGTACAGATCATAATGTTTTCTGATTCTGCAGTAAAATGTCTTTTAATTGTATGCAGACCATTCACTTGGATACAGAAACTGATTTAAATTTTGGTTCTGTGAATGTGCTCATCGTGGCCATACCTTTTCTGGGGGAAGACCTATGGTATTTCCTAAAGTGTGGTTCAGTAAAGGACCCTAAGGTGGTGTGATAACAATGGACTGACAGACATGCAGATGTAATGGGACAGAAGTGCTCTGTGGCACAGAGGTCAGGAGCAGGGAGTTTTGAGCCGGGCAGTCCTGGACTCACAGCCTCTCCTACTGGTGCTGTCAGTTTTGCTGGAAAACTGTACATCCAGAGCCCAAGTTACACGTTATGATACCTGTACAGTAGGATAGTATAGGATTTAGTCGCAATGATTCTTGTGAAATCCTTTGCACATTTTCCAACACGCAAGGTCCTAAGTAGTTTTTACTCTCGTTGCTGTTGTGGTTATTTCTGCTGCTATTATTCATGGGCAGCAGCTCAAGAGAGAAACTTTTTAAAAGAATCTCACGAGTAAGAATTACTGCATGGAATTGTGTACCTACCTACAGTTGCTAAATATGTCTTGTTCTATCTGCAAGTACCTGGCAAGGGTGATTATTTTTCTGGTTTTAAACTGATGAGGAAACTGAGCCCCAGAGAGCTGACCTATTTTTTCTAGGAATATGCAGCTTAGGAGGAAAGGTGCCACGAGTCAGCCTAGGTCTTCTGGCCTCTGCTGCGTCTAGTGGGCATGTATTAGTGAGCCTGAGTCCTTAGCTGGAGAGGAGGGGGCGAGGGGCAGGCAGAGCTGCCTGTTGGCCTGGTGGGCAATGACATCAAACTAGGACTCGCCTTCCTGGGCCTCCACTGCCCCATCCATCCTGGCCTGTTACTTACTATCTTGTTTAGCTTTCTTATACCTTCGGAGAAATGACTTACAAGTTTTCCTCACCAATGGGATAATTGGTCCAAATTATCCAGTTTACCATCCCCAGAGCCGCTTTCCTCTAAAGTCTTCATCATCAATTTGATTTTCCAACCTAACTTTTTGGGTGAGTTGCTACTGAATAGTGCACGGGACTGGAGGAACCTTTAATTCAGTCAAGGTGACTGGCTCTGTGGGGCAGACCAGTGTTTTGTTTTGTTTGAAACTGACCGAGTTCCACGGTAATTCAGGGGAGCTGCTTTGTGTTCCTCTATCCAAATGGATCTTGAGGTCAGAGAGGGAGCTCAGGTCCAGTGCAAAACATGAGTATAAACTGGGAGGATCAGCACGGTTGCTTTGTATTGCAGCTAAGCTGGTTGTCAGAGGTTGGATGTGGCTGAAATAGCTTCCCTTTAAGGTACTTCTCACTCTTGAGATCCAGATTTCCGCAGTTTTGTGTTACATTTCATCAGGCAGGTGTACTACATGTTTGATCTGTGAATTACCACATTGCATTTTTATTTAATGAAACACTCAGAGGCTCTTTTTTTTTTTGGTCTTGTAAACATTCCTTTTCATTATCATACTTGAGTTTGTGTAGCAATTCAGACCCTCCAAATAATGACCCTGTATTTTCATAGCAATCTTCCTGAAGTATTGGCATCATGCCTCATTATATTAAAGAAATAGGCATGCCAAATACCTAAACATGACATGGTTTTTTACTTGATTGGCAAGTTGGCAGTAGGAGAGGAAATTCTGCAGTACCTCTACATTAACTAAATGCATTTCTAAGTAAATCGCCTAATATGCTACTGTAGCCTACTTTTGGAAGCAGTACTTTGCTTAGATGAGTAGTCTCTAAAATGGTAGGAACTGTTTTAATGACCACAGAGCACCCAAAGGCCAAATTATATATTATATAATTTCCTTGGTGTTCCCCAGAAGTCTTCGCCAGTGGCTCCAAATCCACGTGAAAATGTGTCCCCTCCTATGACATCTGGGTTAGTGCTCTGTCTGCATTTACCTCTTCCCACTGCTATTGAAATACAGTTTTAGGTGTTTGTCTAGTTTAGATTTGGGCAGTTGCGTAGAGATACCTTTGTAGTAACTCGTGATTTATTATTCTCTAATGGCTTGGAGTAGGTAGCTGGTTTTACAGTCTTTGACAGCTCTTGAAAAAAAATTTCAAGATCAATCTAAAATAAGATTAATTTGTTCCTTAATTTGCCCAGTGGCATCTGCAATGGTTCAATAAAATAAAAGAACTCCTGATTTTGGCAAGCATTTGGAAGTTCTGGAGTGGGCATATACAGAGCCTTGCACGTGGGTCTAGAGAACTAGCTGTGTGAGCCTGGCCGGCAGATGTGTGGTGAGTGTGGAAGATGCCTGGGGCTTAGCTGTCTGTTCATTGCTCAGCAAGGGTGTGCGGCGCAGCTGCCCAGAGGGCAGAGGCAAGCAGAGGCTCAGCTGGCTGGGAGAATCCCCGGTAAACAAGAGGGACAGCTGTGCCCTTTGCTGCCATTCCCTCTCGGCCTGGTATCTCAGGGTCAGTTTGGGATTCTCTAGTTAGCTGTATAAATTTTTAAGTGTTTAACATTAGCGCTCATTCAAAGGCAAATGGTTAGGATAGAGAGAAAAGTGGAACCCGTGTTTATGTAAGGAAGAGCTGGAGGAACTGGGGATGTTTATTCTGGAAGAGAGGGTACCGAATTGCTGTCTTCACAGGCATGGAGGGCTGTCATGTAGAAGAGGTTAGATTTATTCTGCCGGCTCTGGAGGGCAGAGCAAGGGCCAATGGGGCAGATTTGGGCTCAGTACAGGAATAGCTTTTTACTGGTTACACATGTCCCTGAAAGTAATTAACTGCCTCCAGAATGGTAATTTTGGATCCTGAAAACAGCCACGCCTAGGCAGATGGCTGCTATTGTAGAAGAAATCCTGGTAAAAAATCCCTCAGGACTGGACTAAAGATGCTCAGGTCCGCTCCATCTATAAGATCCTGGTCCTCTGTCTCTCCACCTCTCTGTCCAGCAGACCCATTTCTTGAGCACCCTCTGTTTATTCAGCACAGCACTGGGATGCGGAGAGCTCGGCACCATCATGGGGACACAGGCCCATAGGTGGTGACCACAGCCTGGTGCGGCAGGGGCAGGTGCTACAATGGAACTGGCTGTGCAGGGCCTCAGGGCCCATACCCCATGGGAGGCAGGGCCTGAGCTGAGCTGTAAGTGGGGGTCGCCCAGGTACAGAGTGGAGATGGGGTGTTGCAGAGGGGCCAGGGCAGAGACCGGTGAGCGTGTGGGCACAGGTGGGGAGGAAGAAAAGGCAATGAAGCAGCAGTTGGAGCAGGAGCTGCTTTGTATGCTAAACTGAGCGTTTGGATTTAGGAGTTGCCACATCTGATTTGCCTGTTTGAAAGGTGGCTCAGCTGACAAGGTTGAGGGTGATGTGGTACTAACAGTAATGTCTCCCAGGGCTCAGGTTTCTCACCTTGTGTAGAAGGGGCTTGGCCTACTCTGCATTATCCTATGGGAATAAATTCATTCGCTGACTTCTGTAATTCTGTGTTGATTGTGAGCCCCATGGTGCTTGAGGCCTTTCTGGGCACAAGTAGAGTCACACTGGCCATGAGAGCCAGACTGCACTCACACTTCCCAGTTGTGCTGTTGGGACCTCCAGACGCCCTGGCGCCCCCCAGAGATGCCCAGTGGGCATGCATGCACTGACCCCTTCTGCTCCTGAGGATGACGCCTCCTCGTCCCAGTGCTGCTGGTGCTGACACCTCCTAGGCATTTTGAGGTCGCTGCCCAGCACCCACATTCCCGGGACTGCAGCCTCCACTGTGCTATTCTCGAGGCCTTCACTGCAGCACAGCCACCCTGTCCCCAGCACAGGGGGGAACCCCCTCTCTTTGTGCTACTATTTGTCACCTGGGTCATGAGGTGGGACTGGATAGGCTTGTGTCTCACAAAAGCCCTCTAGTATCTGCCTGCAAGTTCAAGGCTGTAGGCCCAAGAGCTGAGATAGATAACAGGGTTTCCCCCAGGATATCCTGACGTGCCCCCTGCCCTGACTTGTTGCTGACCCTGTGGCAGAAAGAGAAGGCAAAATGAACAGGAATCCTGGCAGTGTCACCCTCAGGTCTTCAAACACAGCTACACCTGAGATGACAGTGACCGTTGCCCATGACGCGTGCCTGGCACAGGGCTGAAGCTTCTCAGGCACCATCTCATCCTATCACCCCAGCCCGTGGAGGTGCAGACTGCCTGTGTTCTCATTTTTGGAGGAGGATGAGGTCCCGGGAGAGTTAAGTGACTTGCTCAAGGTCAAGCAGCTTGCAGAGCTAGAATTCAAAACCAAACTGGTCTGGGATAATCTTAGAACCTAATTAACAGACAAGTGCCTACTTTGCTCATTTATCACCTCTACATATATTTAAAATGAGCTTTTGCCTCCAGGGCTGGGAAGAGACAGTGGATGCTGCCGTCTCCTATCTCTTGAAGACCTGCCTTTCGAAGAGTTCCAAGGAGCAGGCTTTGAACCTCGGCAGCCAGTTGACCAAACCCAAAGACACGGGCCGACTGAAGAAGCACATCACCTTGCTTTGCGACAGACTGGCCAAAGGTGGGCGTCTCTGCCTGAGCGCAGACACGGCTGCCCCGCCGACCATGGTCATGCCAGGTAAGCACTCTACCTATACCGCTGGGCTTTCCCCATACAGGGCATGTGTCTGGGGTTGTGCTTGCGGTATTAAAGTGCTGGTGGCCAAGAAAATTGCTTTCACATTTCTCCTCAGATTTCCCAGGGTAACCACTTGGATAAATATTCTTGGAGTATTTGCTTGCTAGACATTTCTATAATGCTATACCTTTTTTCTTCTCCCTGCTTTTAAATGTGTGATCCTTTTTGTTTTGCTTCTCACCAATAAAAAGTGGATTAGAGAATGAAACTGAATGTGATCTCGAGATACCGCATTTCTTAGATGAAAATAGCATCATGCAAGCACTAATGTTATCCAGGTGAGCCCCATCCCTCCTGCTGCTTGCTTGGATTGTGGTCATCAGAATATGGAAAAGAGACAAAGAAGAAGCCTGGGGAATGGGAGACGAGGCACCCATGGGCCAGGGTGAGAGGGGTCAGCCCTCCCCTGAGTGACAGTCAGTCAGGGCCGTGGGCATCCAGCTCAGCCCTGCCTGCCCACAGGCAAACGGTCCCTTCGAGGCAGCAGCACGTCCTGACCTCCTGCTTCCAAGTGTCTCTTCGTGGCAGCAGGAAGGAACATAAAGTAAATGAATTGGTTAAGTGCAGCAGCTGTAGCATCTATTTCCTCCAGAAGCAAGGACCATAGTAAGGGATGTGGTTTTCTCTTCTTCCTTCTTACCTGCCTTGTGCCCTGCCCCAGCCTGTGCTGATGCTCTTCCTGTTGCTGCCTTTCCTCCTCAATCAGCACTTCTAGATGTAAAAGGAATGCAAGCAGAAACTCAAAAAGATAAACACGGAGACCAAGTAGCCTAATGTAATGGGTGCGGACTCTGGAGGCAGGTGGCCCAGTGTTTGGGTCCTGCCTCCACCCCCAGCTACTTGCATGGCCCTGGATATGTAAGTTAGCTTTCCAGAGTGTTAGTTTCTTCCCTTTGGAAGTGGATATAATAATTCGCCTCTGGGTGCCAGGGCCTCAGATATTTGTACAGTACCCAGTACAATGCTTGTAACAGAGACACACTTAGAAAATTCAAGCTATAATTTTAGCTTGTAAAATTCAAGCTATAATTTTACCATTGTTATGGGTATATGTGTGATTCGGCCTCTGAATTTGGTGTAGAGGCATGGAATACCTAGTCTGGGGTTGTGGGGTTCTATATTCTACGGTTTTTAATATTAAATATTCCTAACTCAGCATTTCAGAATAGAAATGCCTTCCCACATAAAAACAATGGAATAGTTTGTCAAAATTTAGGTCCTTTCCATGTTGTCCTTGTCAACATCCTCCAAATTGGTCCTTCAGCCTCTACTTTTTCCATCTTCTGTCCACTGTTTTCAAATTATTTTCCGAAGAAATAAATATTTGGACTTAATGTGATAGTAAATGGAAAATGTTCACTATAGTCAGCACTCAGAATACGGCTCTCCTTCCTTCCTTGCCAGTGGGGAAAACAAAGTGGGTGAGGCAGAAGACATGTATAGAAGAGATGGAGATTGGGCCCCCAGGTGGCTGGTGCACCTGCCTTCTCTTCCCCACATCCCTGTGGCCATGTCTTTGGGAAGAGCCATGAGGAGCCCAGTGACAATGCTGTGCACAAAGACCCGGAGAGAGTAGATGCTGCCTTACTCACATTTATTGCTTCTGGGACTTTGGTCACTTGTTTAACTACATTTGGGAGCAGCATGTGGTCTGTGTTCCTATAAGCCCTCGGTGCAGAATTTTAACTGTACAGAAAGAAGGGGCAGAGAAAAGGAAGAGAAGGAAGGAAAGGAGAAGTGAAGGAAGATAGAAAATATATTTGTCCACAGCTAGGAGTCTATAAACCGGGTTTGTGCCTCTCATGCCTGTCCTGGCCAAGTTCATCCCGTTGAGGAGACTGGAGCTTTGCGTGTTAATGCCTCACTGTCATGGTTATACTCATCCCTATACTTGCCCATGACCGCCTCTTTGACTCCGGCTGAGTGACGCTCTCACTTGCCTGGATCAGTCACGAAAGTGAGCGGATTCCGGCTCCACCAGCACCGTCTGCTGGTGACATGCTCCTTTCCTGCCCGGTAGCCCTGTCCACCTTCGCACTCAGATTTTTCACACACTCATTTCTGTACTCTTGCACATTTTTGAGGTCAAAGAACCACATCGAATTTTTGCTGTTGTACAAATAGAAGATGGAGCTAAGAAAAGCTAAGTACCTTGCCCAGAGTTCCATGGTTATGGGAAGGGCTGGGTCTAGACTCCAAGTCTCCTAGCCCACCAGGCCTCCCTCTCGACCACACGGACCGCAGCGGTGCAGTGCATTTCGAGCTGCACCCCACCCCCACCCCCTGCTGTGTCAGCGGTTCTGGATCTGGCCTCCTTTCCCTTCTACTGGCCCAGCAGTGTGGGAGGGAAAGGGCAGAAACAGCTTCACGCAGCCTCTTATTTGCTGTGAGGATTAACAGTAGATCTTTGTTTTGTGCTTAATTTTTATTATCTCCATAGTTGACATGATACCATTATCACAGAGATAACAATGCTATGAATTATTTCTGTTTCAAGCTAGTAATTGTGCAGTTTCCAATTTGAGTTTAGCTATGATAGTTTCAGAATACGTGAAGCTACAGTAGCATATTAGAAAGGATGGATTACTGGACACACAAGCATACAAGTATTTTTCACAGATGTGATCTTTTTTAATAGTTGGGCAGGAACTCAGAAATCATCTGGGCTCACCTCCCACCCCCAGCAGCTGAAGTGACTTCGTGGTTGGTAGGGAAGGGAAGAGGAGGGTGTGTGTACTTTCACCATGTTCCTATTAAACTGCAAATGGATAAATATCTCAGAATAGGAACCCCTTGGTGTTTTCTGGCCTTGTGGCTCTATGAGCCCAGCACCTTGGCTGTGCCTTTCTTGGCTCCGGTAAAGACCATGATGACAGCATCCACCCTGGCATCCTGCGCTTGAACATCGCTGCCCCTCGGAATCACCTCAGGGCCTTCTTGGCCCCACATTCCTCCTGCTGGCCTCTACCGGCCGTCAGGTTCTTTGTCACAGGTTAGCCTGTCCTTTCCCGGATGAGTTCTTTTCATTGCAGAGCCATCAGACTCGCGTATCTCTTCTCTGAAGCTCTGCCATTCTGTCTCTCTGCTGGGGAATGACACTTGCATTAACGTCTCTTTCTGATCTCAGCTGTATGCATTCTGCCTTGAGGCAGGGGTCACAGAGGGCCATCGGGCAGTGTTTTTAGGAATCTGAATGTGAGTGCCTTCAGTGGCCTGGCTGGCATTCTCATTCATACACATGTGTCACCTGCTTCATCCCTGCAGGTGCTTGAGGCCGAGATTTGTGTTAGATTGCTGGAGACATCCTTTGGTGACCTCAGTGTGTAGGACCGTATTTCAATGGCCTAATTCCAACCAAGACTTGAATCTCTCGAGCGCATAGGCACAACTGAATGCATATCTGGGTGGGCCTGACACGTGGTATTTGGAGACGAAACATGTGACCCTCACAAACACTGGTGCTGTTACCCTATCTGTGTGCCTCATTACACTTGACGTCATCTGGGTGATGCTTTGTCCATCGAGAGGCGGCGTGGACCAGTGACAGCCCACCGGCTTGCAGAGCTGTGGTGCGGGCCCACAGCAGGGCAGGCCGAGCAAGCGGGCGAGGACCAGGCTCACAGACAATCCAGGCTCACTGAGGGTCTCAAGTGAGTATTTCCTCAATGTGACCGAATGAGTCGGAGTCGTAATGGGCCAGAGCTTCCCCTGTGTTTCCCTTGGCACTGTCGGGTCCTGGGCCCGCAGGAAGCCAAGACTGGGGAAGGAGGCAAAGAAGTTTGAATGTAACATGAGCCTCTCTGTGGGTGTGGGTTAGGAAACTTATTTCGAGATGCGGTGTGGACCACCCAAGAATTAGTATTTTGTGCATTTTTACTCTGTTGAGTGGGTAGGAGAACAAAAGAGTATAAATCTGACTAAAGTATCTATTCTGTCCTTTTGGGAGATTTACTTAAAACTACCACTTTTCAATATTTAAACAAGTCAATGACCTTTTTGCCCTGAGGGTTGGATGTCATTTTTAGGCTACTTCTGAGTAACCCATTTCAACAGAATGTAAATTTAGTTTTTTAGGTCTCGCTTAGGTGCTGGATAAGACGTTTGGTGTTGTCAGTGTGGTTTAGCTTTTGGTTTTATATTTTATTTGAAATTTTGTAAGTTTGAAGTCCTTCCTTAAGAAAATTTAGACCAATTCAATGTAGGAAAAGTCACAGGAAAAATTACTAAGTGGATTCTGAGTTGATTTCTCCTACAGAGAGTATAATACGTCGTGCATCTTTTTGTTAAAGGAGCAAGTTTCAAAATGGGAAAACACTTATGAAGTAGACTTTGCATCAGAAGTTCATGGGTTCTGGTTAGCTTGGGCCTTCACCAACTGTATGACACAGGACACGTCTCTTAGCTTGTCTGCCTCTCGGTTTTCTCAATTATAATAAGGAGGAATAATAATGCTACTTTTCCATAGAGTTGTTGGCCGAATGAAACCCAGCAGTACTTGGAAAATGAGTAGCAGGTGCCTGACATATAGCAAATTCTCACTAAATATGAGCTATTAATCATCATTCGAAATGCTAATGTCAAATCTCAGCAGGACCTGCAGGAGCTTAACAAACATATTCTAGAGTCAGAAGAGTAAAAATACAAGCTCAGACAGGAAATTTTCAAAGGGAAGAATGTTAGAGTTGCCCACTCGGAGTACGTGTTACCAAGTTAACAGTAAATGGCAGCGCTGCAGTTATAACAAAAAGAGAGCTTGATGCCTCAAATAGAAAGTTCAGAATTGATTAAACTATGGAAGGTCTGAGATGAATTAACGTCAGAAAAAGAGGACCTGAAACTGGGTCCAACATTTCATTGTTTTCATTGTTAAAACAAAACATTGACTTGAAAAATAAGTAAAGGTAAAACTAACAGCAAATTTATTGTAGCATGTAGTTGCC